TGTGAATGCCAGAGTGATCGAGGACGAAGACGATGCTAGTTCACCGCCACCTCCTTCAGCATGCTTCGACCCTGCTCCAAGTTCTTCTGCACCGCCGAACACCACCGACGACCCTGCTGCTTCACCTACTCTTCATGGGAACGAGTAGATGCTCTATGTCTTCAAACCTTTTTGGTCCTTACTGACAAAAGGGGGAGAAGCATATGAGTTTGATAGTCTTCAAGCGGGTCCACATGGGCGGTTGCTTTATATTTTGCCTCGTGTTTACAACTCTCATTTTGATACTTTTGATTCTTTGAGTTGTAACACCTAAACTCGATGGTCGTCTGCTACTTATTTGCTACTTCGTGATGCGTTGATAAATTCCGCATGTGCGACGATAAATTCCGCACTTAGATCATTTTTGCAGACGTCCATTTTCCATTATGCATGTCATTATCTTCACATACCTTCTCATGCATAATGAATTGTCATCATAAGTTGAAGAGGATCTCCACGAGTACAACCTGCCATGTGCATTTGCATTCCAAAAGCAAATTACTTATATGCACATCTTCAGGGGGAGCCCTTGCAACTTATGAAGACAATTCCTTATCCTTTACAATTTCACATATTATATTCCCCGTTGAAAACTTCAACTAGTTTGTCATCAATCACCAAAAAGGGGGGAGATTGTAAGTGCATCTAGTGCCACCCCTAGTTGGTTTTGGAGTATTGACGACAAACCTAGTTGAGGAACTAATGTGTTTGTGAGAATTGCAGGATAACACAGGTAGAAGACCCTCATTGATTCGGTTTTCCTACCAGAGATGACCCCTAAAAATGTAAGAAGACATTGAAGACTAAGGTGGTATGTGAAGACATTCACATTGAAGACTATGACAAGAGAAGACATCACATGAAGACTATGGAGCGCGAAGACTTAGATCTTTCGTAGTTCTTTTTCTTCTTTGTTGAGTCATAGGAACCACCGTACTGTTAAGTGGGGTCCAAGAGAACCAGTTAGAATGACTGAAGTGATGCTTAACCAAAATCCTATGTCTTCGAGTGAAGACTATGAGAGCAAATCTTGTCCAGAGTTGGGTAAGTCAGCTTTGCTTGTAGCCCAAGTAAAGTTGTCGTGTGTGTTTGAAATCTGACCGTTGGAACACGTGTCAGTTCCTTAGTGACCCAGGGTCATTTCAGACAAATCAGGTCGGGTTGCCTAGTGGCTATAAATAGCCCACCCCTACAACCATAAACGGTTGGCTGCTCAGAGTTAGAGTACGACTTTTGTCGTTTGAGAGCAACCCACCTCGAAGCTTTTGAGAGAGAATTCCTTGCGAGGATAAAGACCTAAACACCCAGAGCCAAAGAGTGTTATGCATCACTTAAGTCTTCTTGTCTGTGTGATCTGAAGACTTATTACACTTGAGGACTGTGAATCCTCCAGCCGGTTAGGCGTCGCGTTTTGAGCATCCAAGAGTCATTGTGGATCGCCGGTGAACGAAGTCTGTGAAGGTTTGGAAGTCTACCTTGAAGACTTACCAGAGTGATTGGGCGAGGACTGGGTGTCCTTAGCTCAAGGGGAATAAGGTGAAGACGAGGTCTTCTGAGTTGAATCTCAGCCTCCCTAACCAGACGTACAGTTGTCACAGCAACTGGAACTGGTCCAACAAATCATTGTCTTCAACGAGTCACTGGTTTCATCCTTCCTTCCCTTTACTTACTGTTGGTCCTTCTGAAGTCATTGTACGATTGCATCACCATTTGGCTTCACTGAGTGATTACTTGTTCTGATTGGCTTCACAATATCTTCCTACCTGATCCTTACTAACTAGCTGCTATTAGTCATTGTGCTTTCACTTCATTGAATACTTGACTATGGTTTGCCTAGTGTAGTCTATCTTTTGCTATATGGTAATAGGTTTATTTCTATCGTTTGTCTTTGAAACTTACATGTTTTGAAGACTTCCATAAAAATCGCCTATTCACCCCCCCTCTAGTCGATCACTAGCACTTTCAATAAGTTATGAAGAAAGCAATAGCAATAAACTAAACGATCATAGTGCTAAGCTAACGAATGGGTCAAGTCAATCACATCATTCTCTAATGATGTGATCCCGTTCATCAAATGACAACTCTTGTCCATGGTTAGGAAACTTAACCATCTTTGATTAACGAGCTAGTCAAGTAGAGGCATACTAGTGACACTCTATTTGTCTATGTATTCACACATGTACTAAGTTTCCGGTTAATACAATTCTAGCATGAATAATAAACATTTATCATGATATAAGGAAATATAAATAACAACTTTATTATTACCTCTAGGGCATATTTCCTTCAGCAGGTACAGAGATTGAAGGTAGCGCTGAAAGTAAATATCTCATGTAGGAGAATGTTTCATGGAGCTATTCCTTCTAAGGGTATCTTAGCTAACAGATATATCATCCCCAATAGCCTATGCCCTTTGTGCAAGATTAATTGTGAGGATATTGCATGCATGTTTCAAATGTTCAAGAGTTGCAAAAATTCATGAGAACCTTGGTGTTGAATCATGAATCTCTAGTTTTGGTAGTAGTATCCATGGTATCCTTGAAGCTCTACTCAGGCAACAAGAATCAATGAAGTTTGACACTTTGGTGTCTCATAAAGGTGGAATATTCCTTTAGTGGGAGACGACGATTCCCGTAGGTAGCAAGGTGTGTGTGGTGACTTTGTCAATCTCAAGACCCACCGGCTCGGTCTCTTGAAGGTGCTCATAGGGGTAGGTTGTGCATGTTTGTGTTCATATGGGTGAGTATATCTGTGTATGTCAGCATCCGCGTCTGTACTATGTTTTTTAAAAGGCAACACGACTCGACAACTCCCCCCTTCCTGGTGTGGGATCGAAGGACTTATCACTGCTTGTTGGTATGCATGGTGGAAACATCGCAAGGTTGATCATGGGGAGATTGTCTAGTATTTCACTCAGTATGGTAAAGAAATGGCAACGATTAACACCAACTACGTCAGAGCTGCCAAACCGTCCATAAGTAGATGCAACCGAACCGTCCATGAGTAGACGTCACCATGGCTGGGAGTGCCCACATGAAGGTTTTGTTAAACTCAATACTAATGTTGCCTTCTCCATTGAGAATGATATGTGTGTGCAATAGAAGCTTTTACCCACGACGATCATGGTATGTTCATATTGGCTAGCGCATGTGGCATTGAGCATGTTGTTGACACTCCAACGGTGGAAGCATGAGCGCTTTAAGATGGCCTTATCCTAGCTGGTCAATCTACATGCAATAGAATGATTGTCAACGGGTATATTCAGAGGTCGTTGAAGTTATGAAGAACTATGGTAATTCTCTTGGTCCAACGGTAGCGATTATGAGGAATGTATCAGTTTAGCTCAAGGCTTTAGTTCCATTATTTATGATCATTGTCCTAGGAAAAGTAATATGGCGGTACATATTCTTGCCTATAATGAAGAGGTACCTCTATTGATTGTTTGGCATGTGGATCTACCTGGTTTTATTCTTAATGCGATATCAAATGATGTAAGTTTTTTTATAATCGATAAAGCGCTATGATGGCTTTCCTTAAAAAATTGCCATGTGATTTTACTGAGGGCCTTCATGTCACCTCTAAAGTCATTCCTTATGAAAAATCCCATATATTCAAGATTCAGGACTACTGGTATCCAGAAGGACCACTGTGCTCCATTAATAACACATCAGTGGTACACAATATATTTTGCAAAAATGATCAAAAACTAAAGGGAAATATAAAACTAGTCCTTTTATTTTTACAAATAGAACCCCAACAAACCAATGGAAAATGTGATTGAGTTCATAACATCTTCCTCACACGCACAACCTCGTTGTTGTTGGCACACTACCACTTGAAAACAAAGAAGCCTCCATGGAACCACGACATAAACTCCATGGTGAAGATGCAATGCTTCCCATCAAGAAGAAAGGTTGCACTTCAGCCTTCGGATTCAATGGCATGCAAACGAATGGTGGAGCAGGTGCCATAGCCACTCCCAAGCAGCCATCAGAGATTAGCTTTTTCCTGGGCTGGACCTCCATCTCCCTCCCGCTCCATCTTCACCACCACGAAGACCTTGCAAGCAAGAGAGGGATCATACCAACTCTAGAGTAGGGAACTAATCGAGCTTAGTGGCGGAGATGTTAACAACGCGCTCCTTAGCAGCAACTAATCTCCAGCCACCACCACCTAGACTATGGTCACGTGAGCCCACTGATCGCATGCAACAGCGGCGCACTCCACATCCTATATACCTAAAAGACTCATCCCCACTAAATGATTTATTTTAATGACCTTTACCGTGGCCGATACTAGGCCGAAGGTTTAACCTCCTTTTCAAAAAGAAAAGAAAAAAATTAATACAAACAGCTAAAATAAAAAATAAAAAATGTGTGGGTGGATGCATGAAACCCATTAACAGTCGCGCAAGGGGCGCTCGCTGAGTCTTGCCACGTCGACGTATATATTGTCCCTGTGATTGGTGGGTGTGTAGTTACCATCCATCCCAGATAAGGATGAGACTTGCCTGCTCCTTCGACATGTGCCCATCCGTGCTCCCACATACATAGCTTGATTTGATTGGAAGAAAATAAGACCTAGCCATACCTCCTTAAAACTAAAGAGGGAGATGATTAGAATAGAAAAAAGAAGAAGAAAAAAACAACCATAGAATAAAGTAGAAGCACGAATGGGAGCATGAGAGAGGGCAAGCCGGATCCCCCAGATAACACCTCCCGGGTAACTTCCATCAATTATCCTCACCACGAAGGCAGCCTACTCACGCGACCTCCCTCTCTCTCGTTTCCTCTCCCATCTAACCCGTCGCCACGAGCATCGCCAGCCAGCGGGAGAGGAACTGGATCCGCTCTCCCATGCAGCCACACCAGCTTCGTCGCCTAGAGGGAGGAGAAGATGGCGGTGGCGGCTTCGATCTATATATGATCTGCCTCGATGCGGGTCTCCTCCAGTGAGCGCCTATGCGGCGACGGCGACGGCGACAACGAGTGGAGGAGATGAAGCGGAGGCAACTCGAGGGCCTCCTAGGGGGCCTGGTCCAGTTCTCCCCCGCCGCCTCCTCTGCTCGATTTGGCCTCCAAAAAAAGGTGGGTAATGCGACTCCCTTTGGCTGAAGCTAGCTGATAAACTCGCTGGTGCCAAGTCCCTTTAGGGTGTCTTGCACAAAACGTTCTGGCTTGCTTCAGTTCAGACCAGCGTCTTAATTCACTCTTTTGATTTGTTAATTATATATGTTACGACCTGCACTTCGTTATGTTATGCGACCTCTGATTCACGGGTCGTCTGATGAAGATATTGAGCATTTTTCTCATGTATTACAAATATCATGAGTCTTATGATCATTATGATGAAGAGATGTCCAAGTACCTACATCTTTGGTTCAGTTCAGTAGCGCAAAAATCTGAAGAAGTATAATCATAATATTTTTGTTGTCTAATATAGTAATATGTCACAGATGTACATGTACCACATTTTCTGTTCTGAAAGTTTCATCATGATTCCTGAAATACTTGCATTACATTTGGTTGCTTTCTCGAGATATTGCTTTCCATATCACGGGGCTTATCACCACTGTGTGGTCTTTTCCTTTTGTATAGGCAGGCGATGCTCTGATTCAGCTGTATACTCATTTCATCTCTGATTTTGAGGTCAAGATCAACCTTCTTAAATCTTCTCACTTCGCGGTAGTAGTTTCACGCCAGTATTCAGATAAAGATGCTGGTATAAGCTATCTCGAAGGCGTAATTTCGAAGCTGCGTGATACCAAGGAATCACGGGTTGAAGAGCCCATTCTGTATGTGAAGATGCAGATTGCAAGTTTTCTTCTTGAGAAAGGGAATCAAAAGGAGTGTAAGAAACTGGTAGACGAGGGTAAAACCACTTTGGATAGCATGGGCGATGTTGATCCTTCAGTACATTCAACCTATTATTCATTATGTTCTCAGTACCATAAAGTGTGTCAAGACAATTCTGAATTTTATAAAAATGCTCTTCTCTATCTTGCATACACAACAGTGGAGTCACTTTTAGAACCATTCAGACAGGTATTGTTGCTTGCCTGCTCCTTCAGCATGAAAAATTAGATTTGATGGTTGCTGTTTTTGATTTCCAATAATTACCTGCAGAACCTGGCATTTGACCTCTCACTTGCTGCTTTATTGGGTGACAACATATACAACATCGGGGAGTTGCTTGCCCATCCAATTGTATGTTCTTATATACTTATAATTTATATGTACCTTTCATCTTTGTTGTCTGGTTACGCTTTACTACTTACTCCTTCCATGCCATAATTCTTGTCACGGTTTGTTGTGGCGTGAGTGGGATTCGGTTCCACGCCAAATCAAGAAGTCCACTCCGACTGATTAGACTAGCAGGTCCATCCATCCATGTATGCCTTTCCTTGTATGCCTGAATTTTTTCAAGGGATCGGTGGCAGCGAGATCCACGAGGAGCACGAGGCGGTGCAGCAAGATGGACAAAGACGGTGTGGCAGCGGGGTGGGCAAGAAGATGAGGGGATTGAGGAGAGGGTGGAGGCAACGACAGTTTGCAACAAATAAACATCTATCATTGGTTGCAGGTAAACCTGTGAATAGTTTGGTCTAGAACCATAGTTTCAATTTGGTTTTGCTGTTGGGCTGCTTTGGTTTGGCTGAAATGGGTTGAGCCCCTATTATAATTTGGTTTGGTGTGGGCTTTTGTAATTAATAGATTGGGTTGGTTTGGTCTGGACGGAGACAAATTGGTCTCAAACCGTTTCAGTCCATGGATAAAAACCAATATAGCGACCAGTTTGACCTCACCCCGTTAGGCAAGACCAGCGCTAGGTTTAGATGCAGCAGCCGCCGTCGCAGACGAGCCACATGAGCATGCGTCCGCCCCGCCATCACCGAGATCTCCGGTGACAAAAGTCAGCTCCTTCATGCAGAACACGAGGAGCTCAGAGCCGAGGCCTTCGATGACGCTGTTGACAATGGAGATGCACGCTGTTGACAATGGAGATGGCAGTGAGCTCGACCTTGCCGATGTGGCCGACGGAGACGAAGCTAATGAGGAACTGGAAGACTCCCGTCAGGATCATGGCCAGCGTCTCCGCGGCCGGCGCCACCATCTGCTCTTTCGGTGCACACGCACAGACTACAAGCACACAGCAAGCTAGCCGCTGTTCGTACGTGCCTCGTATCTTTCGTAGTTCTGTATGTACAGGTTAAGTTTGGGGTTCAACGTTCCAGTTGCTGCTGAGTGACCCATGGTTTGAAACTTTGGGTTCAAACTGTATGTAGAAAATGGTCTGGATGGATTTGGCTTGAAAATACATACAGTTTGGGTTGGTTTGGATTGTAGTTTTTGCAATTTGGTCTGGTTTGGTTTGATCGCTGGACCTATACATGTATGGTTTGGCCTGGGTTTAGTTTGGATTACAAACTATTACCAGGTTTAGTTGCAGGTTTGAGGACAACTAGCTGCAGGTCATGTTCCAGAACCCCCCCTTTCAATCTTCTCTCCCCATGGACTGAATATGTATGCTTTTTCTTGCCCTCTCCCTCGGTTAATCCTTTTTATCTGCTAATTTGTTCACAATTCCTTTTTCCCTTGGTTAATTTGTAGGAGGAAAATTGTGCTGACGATCTTTTCTATACTGAGCAATGGTAGTTATTTTGTTCCTGTGAAGCTCCAGGTTTGGCTGATTGCTTGGATGATGAGTTTCATAACCCACACAAGAAATAGGAAAGAGAAGTAAGCCGGACTACATGTACATATTTCTTTAAGTGACTAACAATATGTAATAACCTTACTACACAATTTCAGGGTAAAGACAAGACACAATCCATTTGGTTTGTCATTTTGAAGGCACAAATAGAAACAAGAACACCATATATGCTTTATAAGGTTTTCTCTAAATTTTGTGAGTCCCCGAAGACATGTGTTCTCTTCCAATAGTTTGACTTTAAAAGTACATGATGTGTCCACACAATTTATTTTTGATGATGTGCATGACACTTTCAGCAGAAAAATAAAGCAAAATCTAGGCACAAATTGACTCTTCCCTCCTGTGTACCGAGATAAATGAATTCACAAGTCCCACAAAACTGCCATGTGCAATTTGGCATCAATTTCTTTGCCACGTTTTGTAAGAGAAAATGTATGTGTTGATTACTATTGAGCCTTTGGTTAATTGTTGGACCTGGCAATGTGTGTGCATTACTTGACATTGTACATTTTATGTTTCATGGTATTCCAGAGCCCCATCTAGCTTAGCTTGTCGGTAGTATTGGACAAAATAAATAGGTATTTTGACTTTGATAAATTAGGAGTGGTCCGTCTCAAGAGTGTTGTGGTTATGTTTAATGTACTCTTGTGCCTGAGATTTTTACTGTGTCCCCAGCTCTGTACATTGTTCCTATGAGCTGTTCATGTTGTTTAATAAAACTTATAATGATGCATTGTAGTTTAGTTCAATTTTTTAGTCTCTTCAATATGTCGTGCAACAACCATTCTGCAAGGCTTTGTCTTTCAAGCTGTGTTATTAGAGGCAATGCTTGATGATATTCGTTGGTATTTTAAGTGTTGATATCTTTGCATTTTATTTGTAGGAGGAGCTTTGAAAGTTTGTCAGGGCAGAGAGGATGGTTCTCAAGTATGCTACTATCATTGATGTTGTGTGGGAGCGCTAAAGATTTGTGAAACTGCTAGCCACTATCTACTTGTGCCTGCAATTGTGTTTTATACAGGACAGGGCTCTGCCGTTTCAGTGGTGCCAAGATATACCCGGGGAATGTATCAGATTGGTCCATTCATACTCTCGAGTAAGCTTGTATGCCCATATCGTTAGTGCAAATGGAATTAAATAAGTAGAAATTTGCTAAAATTATGCTGCGCATTCTTTGCGTGTATCCAAAATCAGGTCCTCCTTTTGTCCAACTCAAAGTGCAAGCGCTATTTCTGCAACCATCTCAAGCCTGCTAAGCTTATATGGACTGCCATGTACAGGAAGCAGCAGAAGAACGTATACGGTAACAAGCCAATTCCCTTAAATGATATACTCCATATACTTCAACATATGTTTCATAATCTTAATAGTATCTCCTATTAGGTGATCTGATTAGGAAGTGCAAGTACAATGATCTGGTAAGTAATTGGGCTGCCTAAGTATTTCCTCTGATTAATAGTTTAATTTACCAATAGGTACTGGCAGTCAAAGAAACTGGCATCTAATCAGTATCAGGGATGAAATGATTTAGTTACCACACTGTCAGTTAGTCTGCTCTTTGTTCACAACATGAGTGGTCTATATTACTTAATCATGTGTAATTTTCTTTCCTTTTGCTCTGTTGTAAATGGATGTATAGTTTGCCAGTTTTCACCTCTGTTTAGATGTGTTTTCACCAAAACTCCCGAGTACTTGCTTGCTTTGTTTTTTTAAGCAACTACAAATTGTATGGGCATATGAAGTTGCGGCTTATAATTCTTCGTGGTGAGGTTGCAGGATATTCGTGTTGAGGCTGCAAAGAAGAGGCACCGGACCACCAAGAGTCCATGTGGTCTCGCTGTTAATCGCCTCTGGACGCGCCATTGACGGCCATAACCAACGTCTATGCATAGAATCCATGTGACGTGTTTCCTGTTTCTCCGAGACCTTTTAATTCTATCGTATGATGTGAGGAAATATGCCTCTGCTTTATCATCTATATCATCGTTCATGTAACCTCTAAGAGTCCAGTCTTTGAATGTGTTGCATTCGTGCAACTGTCTTATTGTTTCAGTTAGAAACTTCTCTGAATGTGTTGCTTTTGCACAACTGTCTTATTATTTCAGTTAGAAACTTCATCTCCCTGTGCCCTGAGTCTGATGGAATAACAACAAGTACTACACACAGAAAAGTGAAAGGGGTGCGTCTAACCTGGCACCGCCCAGCTTTCGCTCAGGCGGCGCGCCCGCGCCCCAACCACTAGTAGTCTAAAGAGGTGGCGTCGGTGGGAAATCGTGTTCTCCGCCTGGTGCTAAAAGTGGATGATGTAGTGGGCCCAATTAGGGTGCCTGCATGCGGCTCTCGTGCACAAGAAAAGACATGCTACACTCTTAAGAAGAAAGCCAAGACCATTTAGAAAACCGTGAACTCGTGGGTCTTAAAAAACCGACTGCTGATTTTTAAAAGATTTAATCAACCTATTATTGAAAAATGTTTATGATTTTTAAATAAATATCAATGGATTTTAAAATAGTTCAGGAATTTTTTTCATAAATCTATGAAATGCTCATGAAAATAAAATCATAGAGTAATAAATAATCATGTGTTATTAAAGTAAAAAAGAAAAGAAAATTAAAAAGAATGAAAACAAAAACCAGAATGAAAAATACAAATAAAAAGGGAAATAAAAAACTAAAATAATTTACTCCCTCTGATCCATATTAATTGACGCTGTTTTTTTACATTGTACTAAAGCAAGTCATTAATATGGATTGAAGGGAGTAGAAGAAAATGGGTGAAAACCGGCGGTGAAGACGAAAACAAAACCAGTGAAAGCTAGAGATTAAAACCGCTCGTAGCCTTGGGCTGCCCGAGTGGGATCAGAGGGAGTAAATTTCCAGCGAGTCTGTTATAGCTACAACTCGTCGCTTTAGGCGAAGAATGGAAATTTCCAGCGTTTTTTATGAAATTTCAGCATTTTGCCTATAAGAAACAGAAAAAAAAAAGGAAATTACAGCGTTTGTTGAAGTTCGGAAGAAAAGAAGACGTGGTATTGGTTTGGTCTTCTCCAGTTCTTTCGCGAGAAGTTTTGTGGAAAAGCTGAGACTCAAAGGATTCTGGATGTACTTTTGGTTATACTAACACATATGCCCGTGCGTTGCAACGGAGAAACAAATAATAATATCACATCCATCTAGCCTAATAAGCATGATTCAAAGACTCCACCTCGTGTGTTGTGCAAGTCCATTTCCTCTATTTCAACACGACATTCAACTTGTGTGTGCACTTGCCTTAATTTGGATATGTGGCGCCAGCATTGTTGTTTGAATCCTATTAGTAATTGTTGATTGGTGAAGCCATAATTAGATTCCATAATACTTTCAGGTTGCAATCTGAGTTGAGCCTACGATTATTTAAAGAAAATAACAAAAAAAAAATTAGTATTGCAAGCTAGCACAAGTGTGAGTGCGAACATTTGGGATTGGGACGAAAAGAATGTCATCTATTGTAGTGTATAAATACGATGTAGCTCATTTTATTCCATAAGAGTTGACTCGCGTAGTTGGTTAATGTATGGGATTTGCACCTTATGTCCAACTAATGTTGTATGAGTTTTTTTTTTCAGTTTTTCATATATTTGAATTCTTCAAAAATGTTCGTATCTTTTCAATAAGAGTTCAAAATTCCAAAATTTATTCATGTTGTCAAAAATGGTTCACACAATAAAAAAAGAGTTCACAGTATAGAAAAAAAAGGTTCACCATACATTTGAAAACTCTACTGTATATGAAAAAATGTTCATCGTGTATAGGAAATTTGCTCAGTGTGCATTTGAAAAAAATAACCGTATATTATAAAATGTTCAGTGTGTATTCGAAAAATATTCACCGTATACTAAAAAACTTCAATGTGTATTTTAAAATTCACTTATAAAAATGTTCGTAATTTTGTTGCCAGTTAAAAAAAATATTTTAAAAATATTTACCGTATATAATAAAACAAATCCAGTCTGTATTTATGGACCCGCGCTACTTTAAACACTTTACACCATCTAGCCAAATGGGTACGACGTCCACCAGTCGCCTGGAGGTCCTTTGTTCGATCCTCCCACGCGACCCCTCTTTTTGGCTGATTTTCCAAAAAGAAACTCATAAGCTTTCCGTAAATATTTATAGAGCAGCGCTGCCATTGTAAAATCAAGCTCCATCTGGTCGAGTGGCTATCACGTTAGCCCTGAAACCAGAAGCTCTTTTGTTCGACCCTCAATGCTGTCTCACTTTTGGCTGTTAATTTTTTTATATATAAAAAATAAAATAAAAACACTAAGGAACAACGTGACATACGAAATTTGTGGTTCAATGTACGAAATCTTGGTTAGACAAAAAAAGTGGAGAAACTATCGTCTCTTTAATATTACATTAGAAAAAAAGAATAAAGATAAAGATTAGAGACTTTTGTGGTTCGTGTATGTTCTAATTTCTTTGATCTGAGTGAATAAAGGTTGATCGTTCGATGATCATTTGCTTAGGTCTATCCAAGGAATATTGGATCGTGTCCACCTTTAAGCATGACGTCGCTCACGGGTAACTCGCTTTAAATGTGGACATGTTTTTTGTCTTTTCGAGTAAAATGGCAATTTAGCATATTAAAAAACCTCGAAACTACTCCCACCGTTTCTAAATATTTTGACTGTAGACGAAAAAAGTGGAGAAACAATCGTTCCTTTAATATTAGAAAAAAGAAAAAAAGATAAAGATAAAGATTAAAGACTTTTGCGGTTCGTGTATCAGTGTATGTTCTAATTTCTTTGATCTGAGTGAATAAAGGTTGATCGTTGGATGGTCATTTGCTTAGGTCTATCCAAGGAATATTGGATCGTGTCCACCTTTAAGCATGGCGTCACTCATGGGCAACTCTCTTTGACTGTGGACATGTTTTTTGTCCTTTTGAGTAAAATGGCAATTCAGCATATTAAAAAACCTCGAAACTACTCCCATTGTTTCTAAATATTTGTCATTTTTTGAGATTTCAAATGGACTACCACATATAAATGTATAGACATATTTTAGTGTGGGTTCACTTATTTTGCTCCGTATGTAGTCATTTGTTGAAATCTGACAAATATTTAGGAACGGAGGGAGTATTACCCAGAGTATCACCTAAAGTCTGGTTTTCCAGTATCAAAGAGAGATTGGTTGGAACACAAAACAAAATGCACATTACTAACATTTCTGCAGCAGGATTTCCACGGAAGGAAGAAATACACCTCTGTGAGAGAGAATTTAGTAGGAGGCTTTGCTGTTCTCAAACCACTAGGAGAATTCAACTTATATATCGGTCATGCATGCACAAAATCAATGAGATTCAAAGGCAGCTGATAAATGCAACGCACTATCACTAGCACATATTAGTATTCCATCCGTCCCAAAATAAGTGTCTCACCTTTGTACTTTATACAAATTTGAAACACTTATTTTGGTACGGAGGGAGTATAATATTTCTGGAAAACAACCACGAGTAAATAACATGCTGGCCTCTAATCTGTCTGGAAATGGAGAAGCAACAAAAATTTGTGCGACCGCCTGCTTTCAGTTCATTTCCCCGACCTCATCTGTCTGCTGTAAACATTACTATAGTTTTGCATGATTGAACATTAGCGAACTTCTGATAGTTTAAGAAACAAAGTACAACCTATGAAAACCACACAACTATCATCAAGCAATTCTGATGGTTTGGAAAAGACGACGCGTCATAGACAATACAATTTGGCATGGTTCAACATGCACAACAGATGCTAATCAGGCATCTACATCTTCAACACCGAAGCACCAACTGCAAGGCTCCACGACTTCTAACATCACTCTGGAGGGAACTTTCCCCGTGACATGTACTCTGATAGCCAAACGCGCCTTGACAGTCTCCATGATGATATCCTCCCCCATTGGGATGCACATGTAAGGTGAGGCCGCCTCGAGGGCACCACTCTCCGTATAGTACCTTCTCTGAGGTATATTGACGCTACACCCTCCAGAACTCTGACAGCCATGACTAGTGTCCAAGGTGAGGCGCTCGAGCGATGTCGCGTTCTCCACAATGTGTCATGTCAACTCGACCAAGCTCTTCGCGGAGCTGAAGCCCACTATCGTCACACTCTTTAGGCTGGTGTGGCACTGTTGTGGTAGTCGCCTCAGTTGAGGGGCATTCCAAAGAACTGACTCATGCTCCATGCAAGGCTGACGTATCTACATAGAAAAGTCAAGATTCTCACATCAGCAGTTCCACAATAGACACTAGGTATGCTTGCAAGATGGGAGTAACCTACTTCCAAGATGAAAGTCTCCAGGCGAGGAGAAGCTTCAAGAAAAGAAACCAGAGAAAGATAATCATAATCTGGTGAAATAGCTTCATTTCCAATTAGAGAAATATGCAAGTACTTGAGGTGGAGGAATTTGCGAGATAGCGTTGGTGTACTGGTCATCTGCATAAAGATATCCAGATTAATTATATTGCTAGGTATGTCAGCTACTATATGCAAATAGCTAGTCTATACTCATCTAAACTTTCAGAATATACCTCATTAGGCGATGATATGACAAGTGTTTCAACATTTGGTGCATAGGACAGAAGCTTGGTCCGAGCATGCAAGACAATGTTGGACTGACCAAATTCTAAACACTCCATGTGTACATTCTTTACTTGCAATGCACTTCCGAATGAAATCGATACTAAACTACCAGAGAAGTGAAAAATGGAGATATTTGGAGCATTGCTGTCTATCACTTGAAGATTTCTGCATAAAGACACTCTCAGGACCCTAAGCCGCCACAGCAGACAAGGTATCTTCAGGCAAACTATCTCCGGGCAATTCAGGAGTCCCAAATGCTCCA